GCCGTGGCCATAATTTGGGCCACTCGAAATCCGTTCTAAATTCGAAAGAATACCCATGGTACCTTTATTGTTTGCTCTTTCGACGGGGTCAACAAGTTAATCATATTGTGTGGCATGATCATAATAGAATTCTTATTTTCAAGCTGCTGTTTGCTGTGTTTTTTATATATATATATTTTTTTGTTTTTTTGTGGCGCACGCGTTTGGGCCTTAATAAGACAACGGCTGCTGCTGCTGGCACGGAAATTGACGTTTAGAACGAACGCCGGAGCTGTAGCTTGAGTTGGCCAGATGTCTGGTCTTTTTTGGGCCAAGAAGTAAGTGCGCTTTAGCCTCTGGGCGCTCAAATTGGCAAATTAAGTCATACGCCCGCCCGGCCAGCTCTGCAATTTATCTCGTAGCATATTTTTGGCTGCAGTTTCTCATTCTCATTGAGCCCAAGCATTATTTTGCAATAATTATTGATTTATTGTCTTGTTTGCCGTCCGCCGGCCAAATCAAAGCGCCGCCACGGCCATTATCATGTGCATGCGAAAACTTGGAACAGTTCTCGTTCGCAGTCCGAGTTCCCAGGCCCCATGGTCTAGGCTAGCTCAAAAATCATTAGTAAACGTGGCTAATGATGGGCCGGCCGACCTGCGACTTGGTAATTGGAAAGGCACGCACATTAGGGCGTAGTCGATTTTTACGGCTAGAAAGTGAGGCAATTAACCGAAAGGGGCAACGGGATACGGCAAGCTGGAGAATCAGAGCCCTGCGATTGAAGACCTTTAGCTTTACCTTTAGCTTTACCTTTCCCTTTTGGCGGCTACCAGGCGTGCTCAACGTATTAATATTTCACGCCCTTCAATCGCGGCCTAAACTAGTGCAGAATCTGGCCGAAAGGTGAATGAAAGGTGTCTGGCCGATATGGCCAAATCGGAACTCAGGCAGGCTAATGGAAATTCATAGGTCATGCGGCGGACTAATGGCTTCATTCGATTTTATACGCAGTCATTATTTGTAGTAAATTCTCGATAATTTCTAATTTGCATATCGGATAAGGCTAAGGTTACACGGGAAAAAAGTTAAGGCTTTTTAAGTCTGAGGTATACTCTTACTTAAAGCTAATATAAACTAGTTTTGGTGTATAGAAACATATCTTTTATTATTACCATTTCATTTAAGAACTTATAGAATTTAAACTCGTTTAATGATTATTATTTTCTGTGTAGCTAAACTAGTTTCCTCCTCTCGGACTTTTATAATTTGTTCTCCTTACCCCTTCCTTTGATATAAATAAATGAAATTGAAAAATATTTGTAACGCCTTATTATATAAAATGTGCTACACATTTGTTAGGCCATTCGGTGGAAACAATTTCCATTTCCTGACTCTCCACTCTAGTCCACTTTGGATTCGATCCGAGCCTCCTGGTTGGGACCCTGGACAATTGCTGGCTTTCTTGCTGTTCACGTTTGTGGCATGAATAAACCCACTTATCTAATTGCGATTCCGGGAACTGGTTTTCCTTGATACATTTTTCTCAACTCATTAGAACTCAATCATAACTCGGGACTCTTCGACTCTCCTCGGACTCGACTCTGACTCGTTTTTGCCTTGGTGCAATAGGCAAATGTAATCGCTGCTACATATTTTTCAGCCGACGCGCGCAATTGTTGCCGTGAGCAATTTTTTATGGCCAGCCAACGAGGCAGCAGCAACAACAACAGCAGCAAGTCGGGAACGGCAACAAGAAAATATAAAAAAAAAAAAAGACGGGGTAAAAAAAAAAAGAGCAAAACACGCCGGACGTGTTCCATAAACAACACTTTGATTACGACAACGCGGGCGCACAAACGCAAATCGATGTTTTCATATGGAAATTGAATCAAAGTCAAGTCCCGAGCTCCGAGTTTCCAGAATATGGAGCACGGCAGCAACTAGCAACATGTGTACTCCGATCGGGGGTCTACAATTGAAGCCATGCACTGGGAAAAAAATATTATGAAGAGAATTAAAACTTGGAGAAAATGATGGAATAAATGGGAAATGTATCTAAGGTAAGGCATTATTAGAAAGGAGTCTTTTATTTTAGAAATTATTAATAATTAATAGACTAATTTGAATCCTTTTAAATATATAAATATATCAATAAATTAACAAGGCTTTTCTACAAAAGATCTTCCAGATTTGTCTGCTTATATATAAAATCATCCCTGATCAGCTTTTCCCTGTGTACCTACAGACCCGCTGAAGCTTGGAGCTTGGAGCCAGCCCAATTGGCCTTGATGTGAACTGAGAGCCAAAAGAGCTGGGAGCGGACGGACCATGGCGTCAGCGCTTTTGTGGCGGCCAGTCAGTCGGCTTTTGCCAGTAGCCAAGTCTTCTCGAATGCGAAGGAAAAGGGGATCCGGCGGGCCCTGGGTTTGGTCTTTTGTGGTTTTAGCTATGATTATTAATCAATTCTTTCATATCACTTCGCCTGAATTGAATTCTTTTTACGAATCGTTTAAAAGTATGTGAATACAAAGGTAGCTGAGGCAGTGGCCTGCTGCTGTCTGGCAGCCTTTTTACTCTAATTAATTCAACAAAAGTTTCTGGGCCGCCTTTTGTCCGGCGTTTTCCGCTTACTGGCCCTGCTGCTGCTGCTGCTGTGAAAGGTAGCGTTCATTATTCGGATGTTTATGTTTATTAAATTCCATTTAATTACTCCAGTCTACATACGCACGCATTGTAACGCAATTTCAATTGGGCATTAAATGCAAAAAAAAAGAGGAAAAAAGAAATCATAATAATAATTGTTTATTAATGGAAAATAGCCTTTTCGATTGGCATCTGGAAAAGGGCAATCGATTCGAGTGGATGTGACCTCAAAATATGTTTATGATTGCCCATGGCGCAAGTGAATGGCTTAAGAATTGCTCAAGTCGGATCTTTGAACTAAAAGGGAAATAAATTAGCAGTAATATGGATATGGTGGATATAAACCGATATATTATCGATAAAATAAAATGCTCAAAAATTCTATTACTGTCATTTTTATTTGTAATCGATAATATAATAATAATTTCATTATTTTTTTTTACAAAACATTAACCTATTAAGTTTCAATTACAAAATATCTTCGATATTAAATCGATTTATTGATTCTGTCCAGGCTAATGCATTCGATATTTTATTACGTTGCGATATTTTTCGATATCCTATTCGATTTCTCTTCCTGCTATGTATATCTACATCCCTCCGCCAATTTAATTGCTATCGTAAATCTTGTAGCTATTTGCATAGCATTTATTCGCTGGAGCCTGGTAATTTCCCGGACAGGAAGCACTTCCCATGTCCAAGACCCCGACCTGTCTGCCACAGGTGTCGAAATTGACAGATGAGCTGAACGCAGGGCACTAACCGGAACTCGGGGAGCAAGATTGCAACGGGCGTGGCTGGTTCCATAAAAAAAAATCAACCCCGGACCCCGAACCCCGAAGTCGGAGATGCTGAAACCCAATCCCGCAGAGGAGCGGAGTCAGCGCGACTTCAATTTAAATTTTAATCGCATGCCTAATAGACAAACCTGGGGTAAATGTCAGAATAAAGAGACTAAGAGCCGACTTAAATCATGCCAACATTTACAAAGTACTTTGCAACAGCTCCGACTCTGACTCCGTCTCCGTCTCCGTCCTGGCCCAGGAAGGGGCTCATACGAGTGTCTGCGAGTCACGGCCACGTCGTCAGATATGGCCACAATACAGTGTGGTATGTAAGTTGAAGATGGGCCAAGACAAACTCCCGATCACGTTGTAAGTCAGCAGCGAAATTGCAACAGACTGCGACTGGGCAAAGGGTCCCTGGTCCCTGGTCCCTGGCTGGGACTCTAAGCGGCCAGAAAGAGAGAAAAAGTTAATGGAGGCAAATGCATCAAAATGGTTAATTGGATCTGGAACAGCAAATGACGAACACTTTTAGTGTTTATGGCAGTAGCCCAGGCCCAGGCCAAAGCCAAGTTCAGGCCTACACCAAGAGAAATTAATGTTAAAATTAGGGATTTCTCATTAGATATAAGACAATCTTAGTAATTAATACACTTTAAGAGTTTTAGAAAATTCAAAAAAACAATTAACAAATAAATTTGTAACAGGACTTTTATAATTTCTTAATCCTACAGTCTCTAAAAATTTCCAAAAATATTAAAGTGCAGATTCAGATTCAGTTTTAGGTCCAGATTCAGGGCTGAGACCGGCAAGGGAGATTGCGGCAGATAGGCCGCTGCAAGTACGTGGCTCCGATCCGATGGTGCTGATGGGTGGACGACGACGACGACGACGACTGGGGGCGGGGGCTCTGAATCGCATCTAGGAGATGCGGCAGCATCTCAACTCTGCTCATCTCAAGTGGCAAGCGTGTTGTACACGACACGCATTAGCGTGAATGAAGCAGTTCTCGTCTCGTACTGGGCTTTGCCATTTTTTAATCGAATCCAAAGCGTTGAGAGCCAGCCGGGCTTCAAGCCAGCGAAGCTACAGCAACTTCTGCGTCTTAGATGGCCAGACAAATGTGAGGGAAAATTAATGGCAAGCGGTGCAGTAATTTCCATTAAAGTGGGCCCAGCTCCGAAAATGCACTTGTTGCTGCTGCTGGCCGAGAGCAGCAGCAGCGCCAAGTAAGGCGGAGAGGACTTCCGTGTTCCATACCGAGCTCAGGCGAAATGGTAATGGGCCAATATGATGGCCTCCATGAGCTGCCTAATGGGCCGCTGCTCTATGATGGCTTTTCCGAAGACGAGACCCAACTGGCCTCGCCTTGTGTGGATTTGGATCTGGTCGATCCCAAAATGAAATCGGCCATAAGAAGTACATAAAAACGTTAAGCAGGAATAGTGGTAGGTAGTAGTGTAGCCTGCTGCATTCCTTCCCTCGTCGTCCATATTTCATATAGTATATCGCCCCTGGCAACAAAGTTTGTTTTTACGTTCCCATATTGATTTAATTCTGCCCACCCATGACTTGGCTCACTTGCCAGGCCGAGCTTAAGCGTGCAACATGGATTCCGATTGTAATTGTTGTTAAAAAAAATATAAAACATAATTCTAATATATTATTACAAGTTTACCAAGTTATATTGAACTAATTTAAGAATATTTTCCAGTAAACAACGACTTGGAGAAGCGCATTTCCGATGCTTTTTGTGTTTTTGATCACCATGGCGACAAGTTTATTGATGTCCGTGAAGTGGGCACGGTTCTACGTCTTTTGGGCTGTGTGCCCACCGAACAGGAGGTGAATGAGGTAATCTCGGCCACCGAATCGGAGGAGACCAGCGGCGAGGTGCACTTGACCAAGTTCCTGCCCCATGTCTCCCAGTTGCTCATGGAGAGAAAGTGAGTATAATCTATGGTTTACACCTTTTAGAAAATATTAGCTATATCTATACCAGAATGGAGCCTGCACCACCAGAGAAGATTCTTCAGGCCTTCAAGATCCTGGACCCGGAAAACAAGGGCTATCTGACCAAGGAGAGCTTTGGCAAACTGATGATGGAGGAGGGCGAACCCTTTACCCAAGAGGAAATGGACGAAATGTGGCCGGTGGCCATAGATCCTATCAGCGGCCATATTCCCTATGAGTTCTATTTGAATCAATTAATGGTAACTATGGCTTCTATTTAAAGTCTATTTTTAAATAATTTGATTCTTACTTTTTATTTCAGGTGTATTTGTAAAAGAATACAAAAATGTATAAAAGTGCAAGTGAATTCTAATAAAATCTTGATTATATAGACACATGTTAATGAAAGGTTTTGGGCTGCACTCACAGCATTTACTATTCCCACTATACAGCTGAGAAAACCTCTTTCGCTAGGGACTCCTGCTGCCACTTTCCACTCCTTCCATTAGGGAGTGCAGCTAACTAACCAAACTGGCCAAATGCGTTTCAAAGTAGAAGGCTAAGTCCCGGCACAGGACACTCGCTTCTGACTCTGGCACTAGCTTTTGCTTTGACTTTGACTTCGGCTTTGACTATGCCTGTGACTCTGGCAAAAAGGAGGAGCTTTGGCGTTCCACTTGGGGCGGAGCAGTGCAAAGTGGGTTGCGCATCATTAGCACAACTAATGGATGTTCACTTTTCTTACTTGGCCAAGTCGTGTGGACCGGGCCAATTTGCAGTGCGGCAGAAATTTAAATAAATTAAAATACCTCTCGAAGTGCATTTGCCAGAAGGAGTCGGGGGGAAGTCGTGTTCAGAGTCGTGTTCTCGCTTCCGTATTTATTAAATTCTAAATACACGCTGATGGATGCACTTAACTGCATCTTATGGATTAAAATATTTCACGTAATGCCACTGCCTCCTTTGGCCAATTTGAGTGATTGCATTGCTGTGAAGAAGACCAGGGTCCCTCCCCGTCCGTCCAAACAAGTTTTACGTGCGGTCGCCGCTGCCTAATGGACTTTTAATCTTTACAACTTGTAAGAAATTTCGTTTTGAATTGCGCCGACTAAGAGCAGATATTAGATTCGTTTTAAGATGCTTTAAAGGAAGAAGTAACTAAGGATCTCTTTAAATAAGATTTGAAAACATAAATCACAAAGCCAGTTACTCCCTGTTTGCATCTAATTTGAGGAAACCCAGAATTAGATTTGGCAAAAGTCCCGAAACAGGGTTAAGTATCCTCCTCCGACAGTCGCCAGTTAGTCCGGAAGCTGAGCTCGTAAAAAATAAAAACTCAGAAATGCCGAAGAAATTGTCAAAGTTCGAGGGAGACTTGCTGGAGAAGTGCTGCCTCCGCCTGAATCAATCCGGCCTGGGCCTCAGAGGCCAAAAAGCCGAGACTTGGGGCCGAGACTGAGGCTTCTGCCGCTGATGATGATTTACGCTCGACGAAGCGTAATTAAGATTTATGCTCCATACTCCATACTTCTGGCAAAATTCACATAGTATATGAAGTATGCACATAGTTGCCTTAATTGTTAGTTATGCGCTTTTGTTTGTGCGACATTAAAACTAATTAAGTAGAAAGAGTTCCAATAAGATTTATATGCATCAACGATTGCCAGTTGTTGTTACAAGTGTGTGCGGTGCGTGCGGTGTGTGAGTGCTGCAAATTAAAGCAATTAGTTGCATTTTATGACAATGGCCAGAAAGTACAAAGTGTCCCCCAGGCAAAAATATATGTATATATTTAGGGCCCCAAGGGAGGGGGCCTGTACTAATGAGTGGGTGGCGGTGGCAGGTGGCAAATATTTGTGCACCTTGATTGATATCAGCCAGAGGTTGTTTTCACAATTGAGATATTATGAATTAATTATTACAATTACCGAGAATAACAATGTCTTTGGCTGCCTAATTGATTGCCAATACTACCAGTAACTAAGCTAAATAAAAATAGGAATGCCTTAATATTTTGTGCATTAAATTAATTTTAAAAATATTTTTAAGAAGAAAAAATTACATTTCAGAGTTCTTAATAGTATCTTTCCTCCTCCTAGCTCTTGCTACTTTATTCTTGGCCTTCTTCTTTCTTTTCCCACTTTTCCATAAGCCAAGTTTACCCACATTCCTCAGCCTGCTTGCATATTTCTGCATTTAATTGAGCCAAATCTAATTTTTCTCGCCTTCCCCTGATTTTTATCGGCCTCACTGCTTCGGCAGTTTTCATTTTCCAGCTGGCGCTGGCCTGGAACTTTCAATCAACTTTCTGTTTACCTAGTGGCAGGCGGCACAGGCTTGCATTAATGCCAGGCCTGGGTTTCGTTTCGAATCCGAATCTGGCTTTGAGAACGTACAAAAAAAAATGAGAAATAATAAATAAGAGGCAAGGAAAGCGCAAGCAGGCTGTCGTAATTTCAATTTCAAGTGATTTTCCTGGCACGGCCGTTAATTGAATTTAAGCTCTGAAGAAAAATATAATTTGGATTTTTGCATGCTCTGGCCCCGGCGCGTAGCACGCCGAAAAGCGAAATCCCGCAATGGAAAGTCAAAGTCGAAGGCAGAACCAAGGTGAGGCACGGCACAGACTGGAATTGCAAAAGGTGAACAACATGTGGAGCCAGAGCCACAGCCAAAGCCAAAGCCAGATTCAGAGCTCTGCCGCAAAAAGCGTGGCCAGTGGCATGCAGTCTTTATTGTTGCAGCAAAGAGCAGCCGTCGACATCATCGTCATCGTCATGACGTCGTCGCTGCCATGTACAACACCCAAAGGTATCAGCAGACAAAATGCTAAAAATGTATTTACCACAAGACACAGCACAGGCAAAGGTACACAGCCTGTGTTGCTGCTCCCGACTGCGGCTGCCCTTAATGGATCCGCAGCACTTTGAGTGATTTATTTCACACGTTGATGAAATGGACAGCAATGGGCCGCATTTTGACGTTTATTGCAGCAGTGGCAAGCACTCGCATCAGCAGCAGCAGCAGCAGCAGCGGCGGCAGTTGAAGCAGCGCAGTGCCCACGGCATGTGTTCTGCGCATGCGCAGCCCTTTAAGAACAGAAACCGAGGCTCAGACGGCGACCAGGCTGGAGCCAGGCAACGAGTATCAAAGGAAGCTGGTGGGGACTCATCGAAATGCTCTTTCTGAAGGAAGCCACATTTGATAGGAGGAAAAATCTCGTTTAAATATATTATTTCCATTTAAAGGACAGAGGAATAAAAGGAAACGTAAGGTTTTCATAGAAAGAAGTTCAAATACATATTTACTATGTTTTTTGCTTGAATATCTTTAATAAATTTACATATAAATATCTGAAAAAGAGCTTAAAACATATTAATATTATTTTTTTATTTTTTAAAACAAAAAAGTCATAATTTCTCTAGCATTCAAAGAGCATTCCTCAGTCACCTTAATCTCAATTCTACATCATTTTGCTTTTTTAATATTTTCCTTTTCCCTGCTCGTTTCTGCTTTTTTTTGTGCAATATTTCTTTTTTTCTTTTGCAATTGCATTGGGAGCCTTGCACGTCTTTTGGTAATAGCCCCGCCGACCGTGCCCGCTTTAATGAGGCGCGCTCCTCATTCGGACGCCACGCATTTCGTAAGAGCAGTTTTGTGGCCGTTTACCAAAACGACGGATGTGGCTGGCAGGGCAAACTCTCGGCTATTAAAACATTTAATTGCAACTTAATTAGTTGAGGACCCGATGGAGCACTTCTCACGAGTGCAACTCCGCGAAAAATGCCAGCGCTGACCCCCATCGAGTCAAGTCGAGTGCTCGGGGTCGACGGGTCGGGTTTTCGCACAGTTCCACTCGGAAAATGCCACTCACGGAAAAGCCATTGTCGAGCTGAGCTGAGCGTTGACAAAAACCCCCGAAACACCACCCAACACCCTCGAGAGATGGAAAAGTCAATTTAACACATTCACTACGCCTCTTAAAATGTTGATATTTTAATTAGTTACGCTCTAAAGGATTTTCCACAGCCAAGTCAAGGCTTCACCCACACCCCAAAGAAATCGAATCCAGGGACTGTGGACCTAAAAGCCTGGATCATCGGCAGAGCCCAAGTCGCACAGACTCCAGCGAATGCAGCTGGAGAAAAATAAAGTGCCAAAGGGCACACATGGCACAGAGTATCTTGGCTTTTGTGGCTTTTGTTTTTAGCCATAAAGTCGCAGTTTGGTGTGAGTTTGCTGCACACTGGTGGAGATTTTGGGGGAATTTTTTAGGGGTATTTAAATGTAATCTTTGAACAAAAGGACATTTAAAATTTAAATTCGCTCATTTACATTTTGAAGCTATCCTTATTAAAAGGAAGCTTGTGGCATAAGTAAAAGTTGCGAGCTACACAAAAGTAACTTCCTTTTCCAATGAAGAAATACTTTATATAGCTATAAATCGAAATTAAATTATATAGAAAGTAGAGTACAACCCCTTTTCCTTTCCCTAAAACCCCGCTCATGGTGCTTAACCATATGCCAACCTACAGAGTTTTGTTTTCCCCTCATCGGTTTTTATTTTGGTTTTATGACAGCGCGCCCAACTGTGGCAATAAGTTCAAATGCCAGACCAGAGAGCCGGCGACTAAATGCATGGCTTAATGTGCCACAGAGGCTCACTGGCTGACTGGCTGACTTGCTGACTGGCTGAGGCCAAGACTAAGACTCCAAGTCAGACTCCAGCTCAGAGTCAAGCTCAGGCGGACAAAGGTTCCTCTGCGGAGTGGTGGCAGTGCCAAAATAAAAAGTGGGTGTAGCGGCACCAAATGCCATTGCCAACTTTCGGTCGAAAGGCAACGCCAACGCCAACGCATCTCGTGAGTCTCCTCCGATCCTCCCATCCTCCAAGCCCCTTCTCCATATCCTTTTCCACCGCTGATTTCCACTAATTTGATTAAACAGATTGAGTTTAATAAGGTTCGTGGCGGAAAAAGAAGAGAAATGCACTTGGCTGACTGGCCGGGGCAACAAATGCTGCCTAATTCAAGTGCCACATTTATTTTGTAAACATTTCACATCGCACTCGACCATAGAATAGCCCATCCGCACGACTTGTTGTGATACAAAATATGCCGGTTGAGCAGTGATACCACTTGAGAATTTGCCCACACAAAGGCCGCAGCACATCCCTAGTCCCAATCCCGATCCCGATCCCGGACCTGGAACAACCCAATCAATGGCCCCAGTGTTGTGCGTTTTGTGTGCACTTATGCGATCATTTGTTAAGTGTCATCGCGCCGGCATATGGGCAGGAAAACAACTCGAGCTCGGTACCAAACAAACTGGGCTAAGGGGGAGATCTGTCCCCTTTTCCAAAGGCAGAGCCTGTGATGCCCTTGGTTTG